TTTCACCCGCAACTGCCATAAAAGGTTTTATGTGAAGGATTTGGATCTTACAAATCAATCAATCACAGACAAATTGATTGAATCGTGTACGATCCAAACCATGAAAACACCCTTTCCGCATTAAAACTCAGTTCACTGGTTTTGCAGTTTTAGTAGTGAAAATCAGTGGGAGTGTATAAGATGCCGTCCATGTACACATTTAATTGGACTTAAACTGTGTCATTGTGACAAAATAATGGTGCACATGGCATGATGGACCTTATCTCCTTAAACTTACATATATATTCATAAGGCACTTCTTGTGCTTTATGTGCTTCATATGTTCTTTCCCTATTCAGAGGGGGTCGTTTTGTGAGCCCGTGTCATTACGCCACACTGTGATAGGCACAGCTGTTTAACATATTTAAGATTAATAAAGTGATTAGTTACCATATTCTCACATTTATTTTTCATTTCATTTTCATGTCGTCCTAATGCACTTCACGTAACACTTTGAATTGGTTCTGAACACGAACATCTTGCCTAATGCATTATTTAATAAGACAAGACTGATGCTTTAGCTCATCAGCTGCATTCGGTACAGTGCATTAGCATCGGCCATAGAAGTGCACAACAGGCAGACGATGAAGACACATCAAGCACAACACACACACACACACACACTCTTTGGGGCTACGTAACATAAGCTACCAATGTGTCTGTGTGTCACACAGACACACACATTTTGCAGAGTGACACGCATGACAGAAGAGAGCTGAGGTAGAGGCAGATTTCCAATGCAGTTGTTAATTTATTAATGCATTGAGTCCCTTTTTCACTGTTCAACAATTGTGCTTAGCCAAGGGGTCATGACACATTTTCTATTCACAGTAAGGGAGTGAGCCGTAATGATGATGCCGGTGATAATGGCAGCGAAACACTTTGCAGCAGCTCTAAAAGGATTCTTCCTGTGCGACTGAAATGTTCCCTGTGGAAAGAGTCCATTTGTCTTTATTTGTGAGGCGCACACTAAAAGCTTTAATGTTGATGGCAGACAATCGCTCTTGCAGGGAACTTTTTTTTGTAGCCGCACTAAAAGTGTATTATGTCACGTCAAATATCACTGGCCACTTGGCCATTGGAATCAGAGCGATCCTTTCCCACGAAAATAAGTGAGACAAGCGTCGCAATATGTGCACTTCAATGCACTTGAGTTGTAACCCCGACATGCCTATGTGGGAAGACTCAAAGGGATCCAGTAAGCTTATTTGTATCATGGTAACAAAATGGAACCCGGCTTGAACGCACAGGAAACAAGTGCATTGTGGTGGAGAAAGAGTATTTTATGGATGATTTCAAGAATCCAGTACAAGCTAGTGTAAGTGACTTTCATCAGTAAGTAAGTAAAGTTTATGTAGCACGTGACACAGTTTGGATGCACATTTTGGAAATAATTGCAAACGGAACATTTAATCTCTCCTGGCTTCTTTCCTCCCCTCTGTACCTCCCTGTCATACATACTCAACCACACGCACCCGGCAGGCAGGCTACCAAGGAGCAATTAGAGGGACACGGTGTACGGTCCTAGAGATGAGGGGCTTGTTGTTTCAAAATTAGCTGAGATTTGGGGAGCAGCCAAGCTGGCTGACAGAAATGAAGAGAAAAAGGAGAGCCGTGCTTTGAACACGTTTTGAAGAAGAAAGAGACGGAGTGGAGTGTGCAGGAAGAGATACTGGGAAAGGGTAAATATACACACACACACACACACACACACACACCGTCTTTGCCCTCCTTTTGACCCTATTTCTGTATTCCTCTTCCCTCTAATGCGTCATGGTTCTATTTCTAGCTCACCTTTCAGTAGAACAGTAGTGTTGAGTTTGTTTACATTAACCTGGTCAAAGCACACACAAACAAACACACGCCCACACAAATACAGAAGAGGTTTAATTTTTGAAATCTAAGCGATCTTATTTTCCAAGTCTTACATTTTACCGTACAGATTTACGCAGCCATATCAGTATTTTTGCACCGTTTAATGAGATTGTGAACCTTTATATTTCCTCCACTTTCATCACGTCTAACTGTCACTTCCAGACGTCTCTTCACCTCTGAGTTCATCAGTATTCTGTGAGTGACTCAACCGGTCTCAGCACCACAGACAGTGTGTGTATGTGTGTGTGTGCATGTGTGCGTGTGTGTGCATGTGAGAGAGGGAGAGAGAGAGAATCATTTTGCTCCTACAGGGATAGAAAAACTTCAGCCTGAAGCCTGTTGTACAGGGATGGAATGAGTGACAGAGAAGGCAGAGAGACAAGACGACACCCGAGCGCACTGCACAGTGACCTCAGCATCTCTCAGTGAGCTGGGACAGAAGGATGCTATTACTGTGATATGACAGGAAAAGATTGCTTCCTTTGTCCATTACTGTTGTTTTTGTGTGTGAGCGTGCATGTGTGTTAGCACACTGAAGACTAAGGGTTCAGGGAGCACGATGAGACACATTCCTCTAACACACACACACAAATACATGTAGATAGGCAAACACACACTCCACCACTGACAATTTCTGTATGACTGCAACCTACTTTGTTATCTTTAAACTGTTGTCATTCCCTAATGTTATTCACGTTTC